CATACAGTGGAACATGGTATACAAGAATCAGTTCTATTTGCAAGAAATTCAATCTAGTGCATATATACATTTTTTTTATTTTATTACCGATTGATATTAAAATTCGGATAACAGAAAAATAAGAACACTTCTCGTGCATTTTACAACTTTTATTGTTGTGAAATTAACTTCAAAATAATATAAATCAAATAATCTCTAATTGAATGTGGAATCGAATGAAATTCCGTTCATCGTATCAAGTGGCAAGTTCTTAATCGAATGTCTACCACAGTTATCGAGGTGAGTAAAATTTCATTTAATCGGGTGAGTACAACAATTTCATGTAACATTTTTGAATTTTTAGTATCCTCCAATACATTACAACAAATTACAATTGGCTTCCTGATTTGTATAACAAACAAATTTGCTTAAAAAGAAAATATTTCATTTATGTAATAACTAGGACATACAATCAAAATTGTAGATTTATTTTGAAATATAATTTTGATAATGATTGTAGTAAAACGAGCTAACTGTTTAAATGGTTTTTTATGAATACTTATATTATAATATTTTGTCATAATACTTGAACGATGTATGACAGGTTCATGAGTAGACAGGAAGTTTCTTTTAAAAATAAATTCCAACCTCTAATAAACAGACATCACGTGAGATATCATGTATACAAATAATCGAAACCATCTAACATATCATGACACCCGATTCATGACTTATCCAATATAGTCCAAGCTATTGTGATCGATAACATGACGATTCGATGATTTTCATAAATGAAAATGATTTATAACATTCTTCAATTCGATATATCAATGTAATATTAAAAACTTAAATTCCTTTAACATCAGCACAATTAAATACTCATCTGAACAAAATTTGATTGCCAATTTTTTAGGTCTCTTCTTTCAATTTATTTCGGATCAGAAATATTCTTGTTCTGACCCATGAAGCTATAAAAGGTTAAACCAATATTATCAATCGTAATAGTGCCCCGCTTCTATGTACACACGTTACTTCATTCTATTTTTGGATGTGCACGAGTGTATCACGATCTTTCATTATAATTCGTTACAAAGAAGCTCGCGGAATCAGCCTGACAAGGAAGAAGGGGTGCGTTCTATTGGATGGGTAATTCGAGCATTTTCAGAGAATCCCGGGACACTACGGAGTTTGCATACATTGTGCACCTTCGGTCTAGCTAACAGGAACTAACCAAGGACGCTAGCATACCCTATTATTCTATCTGCCAGGCGTGTCTCTGGGGCTGTTAAGACGACCTACTCTACATCCACCGTTCGTCCACCCTTTCCTTGCACTTCGAACTGTCAACCGCGATGCTTGCGAGTACGTCATGTAATTACAATACATTCAAACATTGTAATCTGATCATTTCCACACAGGTATAAACACGAATTTTTGTGAACGTAATACCTCAGATAAATTGAAGTCACAGAGACACATAATTGGTTTTTTTAATGACTGGTCAAGATTATTTTCTGAATGTGTTTCGAACCTTTTGTACTTACTACGTTTGCTATGTAATTGTGTTTCATTTGGTTGTCTGAGAATATTCTTAATGATAAAAGTACCGAGACTATGTATAATTTATTCTTTTTTTATTGTTGAAATCATAAAGACGGTTTTGTGAGAAATTATTGGTTTCACTTGTGTATATAGGTTGTAATAATAGCCATGCAAAATCTCAATAAATGTAATTATTTTTATAAAGATATAGTAACTAAAGTCACACGGTACTTTTAATGATAATGATGTATTACTTACAGCAATTTTGTTTTATGACTGTGTTAATTCGGTTATTCCAACACGCCGAGTGTGGAGAAATTGAGTTATGCATCTCGTGTTCTCCCCATTGATTATTCTATGAAATAATGTTCATAGTTATATTTTACAAGTTCTCGATTATTTTTATGTACTTTTATATCACGGTCGCGTGATATCATAAAAAATCCTTGCCACTAAATCAGTGATGGCAGACACGTATTAACATATTAACATATTGGCTGCCAAAATTGATAAAAAGTACTCGAAACATGTAACTTGTGCAACATATGTTAAAAAATGGGAAAAAATGGCGGAAGCCAATGTATTAAAAAACTGGACAAATACTTAAAAAATAATATAAATTAAACAAAACACGTTCGAATTGATTTTTCATTGATATTTTAATTATGTGCTTTAAATAATAAACACTCAATCGTTATCTATATAAATGTTTCCTTAAATAGTTCGAACCTATAGAGTGAATACTAAACAGAAACTTACATAAGTTAACATATGTACATGTATACAAATTATTCAACCATTAAGAATAGCCTATACTCGTTTTCCTTTCTTTTAGATATCATCCATTCATATTTTTACACTCAACTATAAATTAAATGTTTCGAAAATGCATGAGCCGCTTACGATAACTGCTGAATGTATTACACTGTTTTGGTAATTCGAAACTTTTCTTAAATGCGATCGCATTGCTTTTTATACCATAAAATTTGCTCAGAAATAACAATTTTTAATTTACCTGTGCATAACAGGTAATTAATATATAAGGAACAAAACATTTTTGTCATTTTCTACTGCAGACAAATGAAAATTTGTATCCCTCAAAGAATAATTTTATTACTTCATTTCGTAACGTGATTCATTTCCTTCATAAAGCTACTTAAAACTGTTAGCAAGTGAATAAAAAAATGTGTAATATTGAATCTTTGAAATAATGGACATGTTTTTAAAATAATTGTGTTTATTTATTAACTCCTCTTTAGGTTAAGAATATTTCGTTTTGGACTGAATCTTTACGAAACAAGTCAATGAAACAGTTTCGATTTTGTCACTGAACCTTGACCCGGGTTTATTACTGTTTCGTTGGCCAAGCACACTTCAAATTAACGAAACCCAGTTGATTGTGACCACTTCAGCCAAATTGGTTCGTGGAAAGGGAACTGGTAAGTCGGTGGATAGCTGAAATGGCACTGTCTCTATGATTAGGTCAGGCCAACTAAACTAAATCGAATTCTGGTGAAATTTATACAAATCTAAAATAACAATTGACATAGCATGTAATTCTGGAATCACATAATCGCTTGAAAAAATTTAATAATGCATGATGATGGCAAACATAAATTATGGAATTTACGAACATTAATGTTAAATAACAATTATTATTTGTATATGTTTACCTTACTAAATTACTTAGTTATATAATTGGTACCATTCAAGGACAATCCTGAAATAATAATTACTGATATTTATATTTTATGCAGAAATAAAACATATATTGGTAATGGTAAACATTATAGGTAAATATAAAACATATATTTGTTTCTTTTTTATTCTCCTTTTAACTGTTTTGGTAACTTAAAAAGTTATGATAAGGGTAATATTACTGATTGTATGACTGATTTAAATCTGTAGTGCGTTACAAACATTGTCACGGTATCTGATACTTACGTAAGAACTTTCGTTCAATGTTGTGCTTGATTCCTTAGACGTTTAGGGACACCAGTATGCAAATGCAAACGAACATTATAAAGTACTCGATATCCATGGACGGTATTGTTCTGTAATAATTAACGAGCTCGCGGTATGGTCATGGAATCGTAGGCTAAACTACTGCACTTACGTACCTAAACCGCCCATTAAATCTATCCAGAAACGTGTATTATTTTAAGCACAGCTCGGCAAGATCGATATGCAATGTACGGTGATATATAAGTATCGGGTTTAGCCTGATTTGTATTCCTCGTCTAAACGCTCTGAATAGTTCTAATCGCACGGTAAAATTTTCATGACAGTTGGTGTTCGACTTGTCGTAACTATGGACATTACTGATTTCTTCAGTTTCCTTTGCATATTGTTGCAAATACAGGATAAATTATAGGAGACGAGCCTAACACATAACATGTATAGGTTTGAAGGTGAAAAGGAACGTTTGATGCAAATGTTTGTTGGTTCCAAGGCGCTATTACGCGATGAAAACTTTTTTTTCAAGTCAAAAGTTTCTTTCTCATGATGTTGCTTAAAAGATTTAAAGGTGATCATAATTTTAATGGTATCTAATGGTGATTATAGATATTGGTGATGTTTTTATCAATTACGATTGCTATTTGTATAATACATATATAACTTTCTCATTTTTTGACGCTAGATCATGTTGAATTCAATTTAAAATAAATAAGTTTGTTTTCCATCTTATTTGAAATTTTAAAATTTTCTATCGATTAGCTTAGGAGTGGAAGTGGCAACTAGACGATAAAAAGTGCCAAAATTAGCAGAGGTGATATTTACATGCAGATTTGAAACGATTATTTTTAGAAATAAACTACTTATGTATTAAGAGTATAGCGAAAGAAGAGGGTAAAATTACCTTTGAACCAAAATAAGTGGACGAGAGATCATTCGATAATTTGGAAGGAAAAACATTGACGAATTTCAATCTTTTAACTTCGCCGGGAAAATCGCTACAGAGAAAATTCATTAATTATATAAAACTTTGAGTTATTTATCCTAGCATTATTTTGAATAATTTTAATTTGTTTGAAACACAGGGATTATTATACTTGTTGCAAATTTCATTGAATGTGATCTTAATTGAATCCGCTTGTCAGCAAATCTTGTTTTAGTTCAATATTCAAAGGGAGTCTTAATTAATCTCCCGATACGACAGTATCAAGCCTACACGCATTCCGGTGAGTATATTTAACATTAGCTTAGGAGACAAATATGAGACAACTGACAACATCAAAGTAAACCTTCCGTCCACATTCGCGATTGCTGGTTTTGATTGAAAGATGCAGTTTCAATTAGACGTTCACTTTCTGTTTATCCTTGTTAGAGAATTGTAATCAGTATAACTGTGGAACCTGAACTGTGGGT